CCGGGTCGGGTCCCACACGAGATGCCCGGATGGAGGCCCGGCAGGCTGGCCGATCGCTGCTGCACCGCCTGGCTGCCCTGGGTTGGGTTGCACATGGACGCCCGCCACCCCAGGTTGCAAATAGCAGGCCCAGATGGTGGTGGGGCAGGTAGGATGGCGCTGTCCCGCCCTGCCTGCAGTATGCAAATTAGCCGCCATCTTTATTGGCGGTTAATTTGCATATTGTGCTGACTAGCCAATGGGAGGCATGGCAGAGGTACGGTCAATTACCATGTTTGTCTATTATTAAATGGGAGGCGTGGCAGAGGTACAGTCAATTACCATGTTTGTCTATTATTAGATAGGATTGGGCTCTAAAATTATTGTTGCAACTGGTCCTCTAGTCTCTGACAGTGTATTCTAGATGGTTTCTTCAACAAGTAAACCCCTTTTGGGTTTGCAAAATGGAGCCAGACAGGAATGTGTCTACATACAAAATATTAAGAGGAACATGTATGTGAAACATTTGTATAAATATTAATATTTCATTAATAACTGAATCTAAATAAAAGCTGACAGTATGTTAAATAGAACATGAACAGCCCCTACCTCAGTTAAAAGAAAAACTTTTGTCAAGGTCACAGGAGATCTGAGGCATGGTTATTCCATCAGCTTGGTACTGAGGCAGCAGCTGATTTTCTCTGCTTTCTGAGAAGGTGCATAGAGTGAGCCACGCCTTGGAGTTTTATTGCTGTGGGAGTTAGGGACTAAATTCCCCAGCCTTCTCCTTTCCTTGTGAACTATCCTAATGCCTTTGAGTTAAGGACAGCTGCCCACTCCCAGGTCACTCAGAGGCTGAAAGGGCTACCCAGACTTGGGAAAAGCTTTCTCTGGAGCACCAGTGCCATGGCTGAAGTAGCCAATGTTGGGAGGAAGGTTCAGTGGATAGAAGTTCAGCATTGGTTAGGGATTGCTCTGCAGGTGCGAAGCCAGACGATAAGTTTGCAGGCCAAAGTTGTGGACCCTTCTTCCTCTCATAAGCTCCTGTTGTGCATTCTTCACAGTCCCAGTTGCTCTAAAAGTGTGTCATGTTCAGCTTCTATTGCCCAATAGTACTGCCAAACATCCTCCTTTCTCTTGCACCTATGTGAAGGCAATGCTTGCCTCTTCTTTAATGGTTTGGTTATAGCCCATACTATACTTAAATGGACAAATTGATGCTTTTTACACATATATTAATGAATATTATACCCTTAGTCTAGTTTATAAAATGAATTTTAAATAATTTATTAAAGTAGAATGCTTAATGGGAATGAGTCAAATACTTTGTGTTCTTACAAATATCCCCATCTCTTCTTTGGGGGGCATAAACGTACTTTTTTGTTTTATACTACAGGATACTATCATATTTTTCTGATATACTTAATTCCATGGATGCTGCCATTATTGTAGTGACTCTAATAATTGATTTCAATGATACTTTTTATGACTATGAGATTTTTAAAGATATTCCCAGGTAAGAAACATATGATTCATCTCTCTCAAAGATTTTTTCTTCATTTTCTGTGGCTTTCATTTTGTGTAATCTTTTTAACTTTGAATGTCCTGATTCTGTGCCAGATAAGTTGCTTGAAAATGAAATGTTTAGACTAATTTCCACATACATGGAAACTAAAGACTTGGTAGGTCCAGCGAAGGGTGTACACACTAAGTATCTTTAGTTGAATGAAGAAGATAGAACACCTGAAGAAAAAACTAGGGACTTTACCTCTGTAGTAACTTCAACTTCTCCACATTTTTAAATTCACACTATTAGAATTTGAGCTTCAACCACAAATGACACATGAAATTCCTAGTTTTTTCTACCAGAGAATATTGATTTGAGCATATGCAAAATTTTAATGACTCCAATGATGATTCTCTAAAGAACAGCAAATGGAACATAAAACTAGATGACATGGGTAGCAATACAGAGGTAAAATTTTCAGGATAGTGTATTTAAAATTAAGAAAGCTGAGACAAAGTTAGAACTGTTAGGGATTAGAAAACTAAAATGTGTATGAGACACTGATGGATTTTTCTTTTTGTTCTTCCTCTTCCTACTCTGGTAATGAGGAAAAGAAGAGCAAATGTGTACTGGGATGTAAATGTTGGGTTGGCTCACTAGGCTTATTCATTCATCAAATAGCTTGCTTCTTTCTGCTATCCAGCTTCCCAGGACTTCACTTCAGGTTCCGACATTATTTGACATTATCTGATAGGTTTTAGAGTTGTTTGAAAATAACTGGAGCCAGAATGGTCCTCTGACCAGCAACCTTAGCATCACCTAAGCGCTTGCTAAAAATGGAAGAAGAAAAACACCTCAGGCCCATTCTAGACTTACGGAATCAGTATGTACACTCAAGTTAGGGAAGCACTAGTCCCCACCATCAGTTCTCTGCCATTGTGTTTCTTTCTGACGGTAGGCGGGACACCAGCTAGCCCATTGCGAAGTATCCCAACCTGCTGCCTGCCTGATGTGTTAGCAGCTGTAGAGAACCTCTTTGGAAGAAGAAAAACACCTCAGGCCCATTCTAGACCTACAGAATCAGTATGTACACTCAAGTTAGGGAAGCACTAGTCCCCACCATCAGTTCTCTGCCATTGTGTTTCTTTCTGACGGTAGGCGGGACACCAGCTAGCCCATTGCGAAGTATCCCAACCTGCTGCCTGCCTGATGTGTTAGCAGCTGTAGAGAACCTCTGTTACTGATGGAAGTAACAGAGGTGAACAAGAATCCTCAGTTTGTATTGATGGGAAAAAGACTGAAAAATACTCATCTTAAACCACAAAAGTTAAATCTACAAATTCTAAGTGTCTATCATACAACTATTTCTCTAAACCAGTTTCTCAGCTTCAGCGCTATTGCTATTTGGGATCAGATTGTTCTTTATTATGGGGGCTGCCACTAGATGGGGGGCTGTCACACACAATTGTGACAACCAAAAATATCTCCAGACATTGCCAAATGTCCCCTAGGTGGCTGGGTGGGAAACATGGGGTAGTAGGTGCAAAATTATCCCTTGTTGAGAACCACTGCTCTATACTTAGATCACATTGAGAAAAACATCGTTTCCAAAGCAAAAATTGATCTTTCTAATTTATTGTTAGATTGGTAATTCTCCTTCGGTCTCTACGCCTTATCATTCTGATGAGAATTTTTCATCTGGCTTACGAAGAAAGACAGCTTGAAAAGTTGACCAGAAGGATGGTAAGTGGGCAAAACATGTTTATGGTTCAGAAAAATGTGTTTTAGGAAATACTGGCAAGGGTTATAGGTATCTATATAATGATCTTTATTTTTATGTTGATTTATGTTTTACAAATTAATGATTCTTTTAAATGCTCAGGTTTCAGGAAACAAACGACGATACAAGAAAGATGGATTTGACTTAGACCTCACTTATGTTACTGGTTTGTGAAATTTAACTGTTGATTTACTTAAATTGATTTCACTTTTTTGTGTGTGTAAGTAATTATGTGGGGTTTTTATTGTTGTTGTTCTTGCCTTCTCTAAGCCATGTTCTTTCAAAGCATTGTTTATCCATGAAGAAGTATGCCACTATGGTAGTGTGACATATTTGTAATTTAACCCTGACAATGTTTTTATTGTCATCTCAAATAAGGTCTACTTGGTTACAATACAGGAAGTTGAATGGATTTTCAGATGACTCCATTTGTTTGGTTTAGAATTTATTGAGTAGTTATTCTGGGTCCAAAGGATTCCAAAGAAACCTCTTCTTTTCCTAGAACCCCAGAGAATAAGGTCATTGCTTTGTAGATATCAGGTTTCTGAGTCAGGATCACTGGAAAGCATCCTGGCAGTTCCCAACATCCCTGGAGCCCGGATCTCTCATTTTCCTTTGGTGTTTAAGTAAAAAATAAATTCCCACTACAGGGGGAGCTCCAGACTGAGGTCAACACAAATCTGTTTGCATGTGGCTGGAACCAACTGAGTTGGGAACACAGGGGAGTTTAATGGTCATTGTACTGGATAATTTACTATATTATCTTGATTATCTTGAGGGCTAGTTAGTTTTTTCTATCATTTTCAACCCTGAAAGTTTTTTTTTTCTGTGAAAAAGGAGTCTGGTTATTAGTAAATTAAGTTGTCACATATTGTTTGGCATCTATAATGATATTCATAATAGTGACTATTTTGACTTCCAGAACGTATTATTGCCATGTCATTCCCATCTTCTGGAAAGGAGTCTTTCTATAGGAATCCAATTCAGGTAAGGGTATTGATCTAACAAATGCTCATATTTCTCAGTAACCATAGACTGTGGCCCAAAGATGGAAGTATTTTACTAAAAATTTACTCTTTCAGGTAAAAAATTATAATGGATTGACATTAATTAGCTTTGCTCTGTTGCCCACCAACCAAAAACTTAGTGACATAATAGCAGCCATTGACTTAGCTCATGATAATGTGGTTTGTGAATTTGCATTGGGCTTAACTGGGTAGTTCTGGTGATCACAGACAGGCTCAATTAATCTCAGTTGAGTTAACTCATTTATCTGTGGGCACCTACTGGGCATCTGAGGATTGGTTAAATGGCTCCATGTGATATTTCATTCTCTAACAGGCCAGTGTGGGCTTTTTCATTGTGGCAGTGGCAAGGATCCCACAAGTAGCAAGCAAGAGTGTAGAGCCCCTGAAGATCTAGGCTCAAAACTAGTATAATGTGGCTTCTACCTCATTCTATTAGAAAAGCAAATTGCAAATCCAGTGCAGATTCAAGGAGTAAAAAACAGACTCCATTTCTTGATGGCAGGAATTGTAACATATTGTGACCATATTTTTGTAGTCTATCGTAGGGGGAAAGGGTGGGAATTCTTTAAAGTAAATAAGTAAAACATGTGTTCTTAGGTTGAGATCCAAAATGATAGTAGAGGCATACTGCTTTAGGTTTTGTGGATTAAGTAAACTAATTTCAAAGATAAAATTATGTGTACTATGAAATTTCAATTAAAAGTCATTGTTTAAGAAGCTTGCATAATGTGTGGGTATGTATACATTAGAGCAATTTACAGTATTTATATCTCAATAAAAATATAATATGTAATTATACATAATTATGTGTATGTGTATATGTCTATATTCATACATATATAATTATACTTTTATTGAGGCATATAAAAACTTGTAAGATGTACTGATCTTAAGTGTTTATCTTGATGTAATTTTATATATGTATATGCATGTAACCAACACCTCTATCTAGATATAAAACATTTCATGCTCTTTTTCAGTCAATATCCCAACACACTAAAAGTAATTGCTATTCTAACTGAGTTAGTTTTACTTCTTATTGAATTTCACATAGTGGAATCATACACTAACTACATCTTTTGTTACTGACTTTTTATGTTCAAAATAAGTTCTGTGAGATTCATCCAATATTGTTATGTGTAAGAAGTTCTTTTAATTTATTGCTTTCTAGAATACTGTATTGAAAGTCCAAGCATTCAGTTTACATGGAGAAATTATAACATTATACAGCACCTCACAAAGGCAGCAAATACATTACAGTTTATAAAAGCTACTTTACAAAATGTTTTAAATTTGAATTATCAAAAGGTACAGCTGAAGAAACAGATATAAAACTGGCAACCAGTAATTTTGACTATAGCTTATATGACTTTACATATGTGAATTTGAAAATACTGAGTTTAGGGTAATCACTATGCTTTGTGTCTATATGAAAACTATTAAAGGCCCTGTGCATGAATTCATGTACTAGTGGGGTCCACCTGCTCCAATCGGGGCTGATTGGGCCGGGCTGGCCAGGGAAAGGGGACGCGGGTTAGGGGACAATTTGCATATTAGCCTTTTATTATATAGGATAATACTGCCTGTTGAAGAATGAACAGTATAATACTGATTGTTAAAGAATCGTGTTCAAAATTATTTAATTCTCTTCAAAATGTCATACAAATTATTATGTTTTTTTATGTGCCATTAAATCTTCACTCATTTAGCTCAAGTACATTACTAAAGTAATATATTAAATTTTCCACTGCAGTGGTCTTTCACACCATTGACATTTGCATACTTTAGTATAAATTAGAAAGAAATGTGTGATATTAACAAATGTTCAGAAAAGCAAGCAAAAGGTCAATAAACCTGCCAGGTTCTTTGAGATAGTGTCATGTCAGCTTCATAAACATTCATTCTGTAAAATAGTCAGCTAATGTTTGAACACCATTTGCAAGATAAAACACATTTTCTCATAAATAATGAAGTCTTTTTATCAAGCACTAAAAAGTATACAAAATAATTTGAATTTGAGCAAGTCCTGGAATGTGTTCAGCCTAATATTTAAACAGACTTGTTTCCACGGTTTCACAAGGACAAGATTTTAAATTGCTCAGAAGAGTTAGAAACTGCCTTGAGAGAGATGAACACAATCATTACCAATAGAAAAAGTAACCATTGTGTTTATCTCTTAAGAGACAGAAAAATGTAACATTTTCCCCTTAGAATTATATGTATACAACTATATATAATATATAACATGTAATAAAAATATATT